AAACATCCTTTGGTGCCAGAGATAAGGAAATACTTGAAATAAAATGACATTTTAAAAAGATGGGGACGTGTTGAAAGGATATAGAAACCAACCTGAATTAATTTCTCATGGCCAAAGCGAGAACTATTTGAGCATCAAAATAAATAACAAGAGTATTATAACACACATACAAAAAATAAATGTTCATGATAAATACAATGATACTATAAATAATAAATGATTTAATGAATAAATAAAAGGGGAAGAAGGGACAACTCCTCCTTAAAGAAGAATTGTAATTAGTAAGTGTAGAAGAAATGAGGCAAATGAAAACTCACCATTAGAACATTACAGTAGTCATTGCTGCAGTGAAGATCTACCAGGAGGGGCACCTGCGTGGCTCAGTTAAGCTCAGTTTATTAATTATAGTGGAGCAAATAGTAACTTTATAACAGGGAAACCCAACAGAAAGCACCCTAAGAGATCAAGGTTAATAATCCCACCACTAATTAGACGTGCTACCATGCATCCCCTGATCCGATGCACTGAGAAGAGCACTCTACCTCTTGAAGTTCTGCCCCAAAATCCATAATCCGAACCCAGTCATGAGAAAACCCCAGGCAAACCAGACTGAGGGACAGTCTATAAAATATGTGACCTGTACTGTATTGTTGCATCTTTTCTGAAAATCTAAAATTAGAATTGAAAGTTAAATAATATCAATGTGAATCCAGCATTCCACGGCCTAAGTTCTGTGGTGGAGAAACAGGAGTCAGAATGTCTGAAGGAGGGACCCCTGGGTGGCTCAGTTGGTTGAGCGTCCGACTTCGGCTCAGGTCATGATCTCACAGCTTGTGAGTTCAAGCCCCGTGTCAGGCTCTGCATTGACAACTCAGAGCCTGGAGCCTGCTTCGGATTCTGTGCCTCCCTCTCTCTCTGCCCCAACCCACTCACATTCTGTCTCTGTCTCTCTCAAAAATAAATAAACATTTAAAAAAAATTTTTTTAATTAAAAAAAAAACAACTGAAGGACATAGCAGCCATCATTGTTGGTACTAACCTGCAGATCAGAGGTAGAGAGTACACAAAACTAGACAGGTGTTTCCATTCCAGCCAGAGCCACCCCGGATCTGGAGGTAGCATAAAGAGAAGAATGCCCAAGTTACTGTTTTCACAATGGTTTCCAAAAGTCTGACGATAATGTGGGATCTTTTATTATTCTCTGTTGTCAGGAGTCTCTCTTCAGTGTTTGCACAGCAGTTGACATATAGGCACTCAAATGTTGAATGAAGGAATGAATTTGGTTACTGTGATGAAACACTGACCCATTCCATTTGAATAAAAGGCAATAAGCAAATCCTGCACAGCCGTGCCATTTTCGTATCTCATCGATGGTTCTCACTCACCCCTTGTTGCACTTAGATGCATTTAGGCAGAAAGCTGCAGACTGAATGAAGCAAATTAGTCAGGTTCCTGTGAAGAAGTAAAAAGACTTTTATTTTTAAGTGCCTTTCTATTGCCACTTCTTAAACCTGACAATTATTACCCTACTCAAAAATAGCTACATATCACAGTGCCAGGGAGGGACATAAAGGTGGTGGTTAACAGCAAGGGCTCTGTAGTCAGACTTCGTTTCTATTACAGTTTTTCAACGTAAACGCAAGGTAGTTGACTTTCTACCCTCACTTTCTCCTAAAATACGGATGTCTCATAAGATTATTAAGAGGAAACCATCTTCAGGGTGCCTGGGTGGCTCAGTCGGTTGAGCGTCCGACTTTGGCTCAGGTCATGATCTCACGGTTCATGGGTTCAAGCCTCACATTGGACTCTGTGCTGATAGCTCAGAGCCTAGAGCCTCCTTCGGATTCAGTGTCTCCCTCTCTCTCTCTGCCCGTCACCTCCTCATGCTCTGTTTCTGTCTCTCAAAAATAAATAAAAATGTTAAAAAAGAAAAAAGAAGAAGAAACCATTTTCTGCAGCGCCTTGATGGCCCAGTCAGTTAAGCGTCTGACTCTTGGGTTAAGTAATTTGCCCAACGTCACACAACTCAGTGGACAACCCAGGATTTGATTTGAATCTTCCTGATTCCATAGTCTTTCTCAACCCATACCTCAGATGATTGCAGAAACCATGTTTAAGTGTTTTGACAAGGTTATAGAAGATATCTGCATATGTGCTACGATAATAGCTTTAGTGAACCTGATTGTCTTTAAGCATTGCTTTTAATGTTGCCCCAGGCTCAAGTTTCTATTTTCCTCATTCTATTTTCCTACAGGAAATTGAAGTAAACATCTCTTTAGTGCAACTCTCCTTATAAGTTAACAGACACTTTCTTTGTCCTGAATGTGTAAAGCTGTGGTTGAGCCTGGGCTGCCATAGGCACAGTGATGCTTTCCCAGCTCTGGCTCTCGCCTTGCCTATGAAATGTACCAGTGAGAGAGCCTAGGCAGTAAGGAGGCCAGGCCACCAGGCCCCGTCACTCCTCTGAGAGGACACAATCCACCAGGGCCCAGGGAACATCAGATTGAAGTTCTATAGTGACTCTTCGAGATGTTAAAACTTCACAATGCTATTCAAAGGGTATCCTCAACTCACATGAGCCTAAAATTCCTCCTGTGATTAAAGTTTAAAGTACAACAGTTATTGGACCTATTTCAGGATCTCCAGACACACATCCTGGAGCTTCTTGGGCTTTAATACGTGAGTGAAGTTAACGTTTTCCTCTTTAAATGTTACTGGAATTTCTAGTCCTTGACTCATTTGAGAGTATAGCTTTTCTGGAAACTTAGAAACCTACATCAATAAGGACATACGGGTTATGATGTGGTATGAGTAGTTAGTCATAGAGGTGGAGTTGAGAAGGTAAGACCTCTCTGACGGTCCTTTGGGAAAGCAGAGTGTAGGACTGAACTGTGGTCCCATGATGAAGGGAGAGGTTCGCCCTGCCTGGTTTGTACTCTTGGATACCAGTGTTCCACCAGGTCTGGATGGTGCCTGAGGCTCTTCCCCACGTGCACCCTCACTTGTCTTTGGAACCCTCAGAGTCCTCTCCACTGCCCTGTCCTTCCTGTATATCTTCTCAGAACCTTTGTTTCTGAAAGGCGGTAGTTCGTAATGATGGCTTCACGAAAAGAGAAGGGAGCTGACCTTTGACATCTCCCATGCTCTAGGCCCTTTACGTGTTTCATCTCATTTAATCCTCACAGCATCCTGTCTGGGTAGGTAGATTATCACTACATTTATAGATGAAGAAATTTAAGTTCAGGGAAGTTGAGTCATCTACCAAAGGGGCTTGAAGCTAGAAAAGCAGGAAAACCGGAAATCTGCTCTCATTCTCCTTAACTGGAGAGATTGTGCTCTGCTGTGAAGCTGTGGTGTTGGGGGTTGTGACTGTTGTTGACTGTCACTACTGCTTGCCACGAGTTTGTATGTCAGTGAGCCAAAAGAACACTTCGCCTGCAGTTACTCACATATGCCGTGGTCTCCAAGTGTGAACAGTGCGAGTTGATGTTAAGTCACCGGATCCTCACAAAAACCTGCCAACTACAGATGTTTATTATTTCAACTTTGCAGATGGGGAAACCAAGGCTCACAGAGATTGATACAGAGTCACACAGCCAGTGAGTCTGGAACTGGAGATTTGATCCAGTACTCATGGGGACACCTTTTAAAAAAAATTTTTTTTTCAACGTTTATTTATTTTTGGGACAGAGAGAGACAGAGCATGAACGGGGGAGGGGCAGAGAGAGAGGGAGACACAGAATCGGAAACAGGCTCCAGGCTCTGAGCCATCAGCCCAGAGCCCGACGCGGGGCTCCAACTGCCGGACCGCGAGATCATGACCTGGCTGAAGTCGGACGCTTAACCGACTGTGCCACCCAGGCGTCATGGGGACACCTTTTAAAGCTCACTATCCCTGCAGCACCCTACACCAGCCAGGAGTAGAGCCAGTTTCTGTCACTCAGGCAGTGTTCTCTGGTCAGGAGTCTTACAACATAAGACAGTATTCCTGTAACTTACAAAATAACAGGAATTTGTTTCCGCAGTAAGAACACAAGATACGTGAAGGCTTAGCAAAAGGGCACAAGCTTGCATTTATACCGAAACTCACTGAAATTGGTCTTTTCGTGCATATTGAAGGCATCTGAGTAGTGTTGCCAGAGTGCCTGCTGTGTAACAAAGCTATAGATTCAGTATGACTAAAGTTATTTAAGGGAAGGCCATTCACTGTTTTGAGGTATAATGCCGCTCATTCTGTAAATGAGTAAGTGATAGGTGTCTTGTGGCTGGCTGGGCCAGAGAGCCATCACATGATAATGAGCTATTCAGATGCACATCTGCTTAAATCAGAATGTATGGGCCAACTCTTAAAGAATTGTGACCTGAGAAACACGGGACTCAGTTGCCTTAAGAGGTTCCAGATCTTGCTACCTTGGGTAACGGAGGAGCCGTTGTGTTTAGGTAAAGATCTTAAATTTTTACTCATTTGTTTCTTTCCTTAAAGACTATAAAAGATAAAGAGCTCATGGGGCGTCTGGCTGGCTCGAGGTTGAGCATGTGACTCTTGATCTCGGGGTCATGAGTTCAAGCCCCATGCTGAGCATAGAACTTACTGAAAAAAACTTTAACTTAAAAAAAAAAAAAGGAGATAAAGAGTTCTTAATCATGGAGTAATTGAAATTCTAAGATTTTCTAATTCAAGTTGGTTGTCCACACCAATGGATTTTCTTTCGGCCTTAAAAATACATGACCTAAAGTCTTTTTCCAGCCTCTCACTCATTGTCTTGGAGAAAAAAACTTGATAGATTTATACATTTGTTCATTCCACAAATATTCATTGAATACTTGATATTTGCTGGTCACTGTGCTCCGTGCTGAGGACTCATCACAAGATCAGTGCTGTTCCTCACAGAGCGAATAGTAGTACTATCGTTGATACAGCATATTGTAAAATTTGTTACAAGAAACTCAGTATAGTTTGAGAACACAGATGAAAGTAACATTTATTTCCATCCCAATAGATTTCGGTTTTGGAAATTTCTTTAAAAGTGGTGAACTGCTGGCAACATGGTGTGGCAGCCCTCCTTATGCGGCCCCTGAAGTCTTTGAAGGGCAGCAGTATGAAGGACCACAGCTGGATATCTGGGTACTTGTTTGCTTTGCCGTGTTCAGTGCATCTATGACAATGACCCTTGGTACTTAGGCCCATCGCCGAAGCTCTTGGTACCTAACACATAGGCCGTAGTTCATACTTTTCCCACCCACTGGACTGTAATTCGAGCATTTTGAATTTGATTCTAGGAAAGAATTTCTAGGGGCAGATGTTATTACTTTAATATCAGCAATAATTTTAAGTAGTAATCAAAAGAAATTAAATTCAGATCTTTGAGTATTTGTTTTAGGATATTTTATTGCAGTAGTCTGAGTTTTCGGTTTTTCCTTTTTTTCCTTCTTTTCAAGTTCTGAGACAGTAGTAAATCCAAACAGGAATTTTTCAGCCCAAATGATCTTAAGGGCCCCGGGGATGTTGAGGAAAACAAAGAGTGTTTAAAGTTCTCAGAGGAAAAGTGACTGCGCTGTCTTCTTTCCTAGAGCATGGGAGTGGTTCTTTACGTCCTTGTCTGTGGAGCTCTGCCTTTTGATGGACCAACTCTTCCAATTTTGAGGCAGAGAGTTTTAGAAGGAAGATTCCGGATTCCCTATTTCATGTCTGAAGGTAACAAACTTGTTCCTCTTAGAAGTGTGCTCTCCAAACTTTGTGCTCTGAGTGAAATGCCTGGGAAAGGCTTCCCTTGTTCTAAGAGTTTGGTGCCATACAAAGTGACTGAGTCACTTCAGAAGCCATAGAAATAAGCTGCCCCCTCCATGTAGGTGAGCGAGGCTCCAGCCTTCCTACTTGTGACTGAAAACGGAAAGTTTTCCAGGTTAAGAACAGCACGTCTTCGCATGTGCTCTGGGTCTATAAATGTCCCAGGTTTATTTTAGACTCAGAGAAGTACTTTGTAGACAGAGTCACAACTATTTCACTCTGAGTATGAAGTACATTTTCCCGTATCTTTCGGTGAAAAGTTGAAAAATTGAGTTTTTTAATTGAATTAAAAACTGGCAAAGCTCTCGAATTGAGAGGAGGTGCCCTGACCCCTCCCCGTCTTGGGCTGGCAGGTTGCATGCAGCCGACTGGGTTGTTGCCGCAGTTCCATTTACTCCATAGCTTTGGGTGACCATCCTGAACTCGGTCACTCCTAGTGATGGTAGAAGCGAAGCTCCGATACTTAAGAGCACAGACCTTGGAGCCAGACTGCCTGGTTTTAATCCCGAGTCCACCACGTACTGGCGGTCTGACATCAACAAGTGATGTCACCTGTCTGTGCTTCCTCGGTCCTTAAAATGGAAATAACAGTGGCTCCTTGTAAGAGCCTTGTGAAGATTAATTGAATTAATCTCTGTAAAGCACCTTGCGGGGTGTCTGGCGCCTAGTGAAGGGTATAAGGCCGGTCACGTGGGCTGGTAGAGAGCATGGTGTCGGCTCTGAGAGTTAGCTGCTGCCTGAGTCACAGCAGTGCACTTTCTGAAATGTAATCACAGGTAAATAACGCTTCACGTGCGTTTCTCTCAGCTACACCGACGGGGAGAGGAGATCAACAGTCCGCCAGAGAGCTCTCGCCTCACTCACTTACCCTTAATGTATCAGCCTCAGAAGGGGCTCAGGATCCATTTATGTGCTCGTTCTAGGAAGAAGCTTGTTTTTGTCCTCAGCAGAATCTAAGTCCATCTCTAGGTCTTTTCAGTTGAGAAATACGATGGAAGGGTTCGTTTAGCACAGAATCGGACAGCCCTACACCCTCCTGTTTTTCTTAAGTATTCATTCACGTGATGGTTACTTTTGTGTCAACACTCACCACATGAACCTGACAAATACAACTGGCTTTCATGTATTCATTTGAACTTCTGCTTTCCAGTGGGCACTGTGGAGGATACAGAGATTAATGCTGTTGTACAAAGTCACATGACTGAAGCCAATACCCTGAAGTACAAGATGATTTACGTGACTTTTGTAACATTGTGTTTCCATAGATTGTGAGCACCTTATTCGAAGGATGTTGGTCCTAGACCCGTCCAAACGGCTAACCATAGCTCAAATCAAGGAGCATAAATGGATGCTTGTAGAAGTTCCTGTTCAGAGACCTGTTCTCTATCCACAAGGGCAAGAAAATGAGCCATCCATTGGGGAATTTAATGAGCAGGTTCTACGATTGATGCACAGCCTTGGAATAGATCAGCAGAAAACCATTGAGGTAAAGTGATGAGAGATTTGACTGAAGATATTTTAGGATTCTTCTGTGCTCAGTAACGTGAAAGCTTGTGCCCACACCCACCATCCTGGTGTTTGAGCATGACCATTCCCATCACCTCGGCGTGTCCAGCTTTCCCTGAGGATTATAATCAGGCTGTTTCATGTTTGCTTCTTTATTCAATATATAAATTCTTCCCTTTGCCCCATCTGACAAAAAATCAAGAGGTAGTTTATGTAGGTTTGAAAAAAGACAAAGATGGGAACTTAACAAAGTAGAAAATTTCTTGTAAGATGAAGGGTAGAGTTTTATCCAAGTCATAAGCTACTTTATATGGAGAATAAATATACATACAGATAGGGAACAAGGCTGAGGGCTGAACAGGAAACCACAAGAGTAGGCATCAGGTTCAGGATTTAGGTTGTGAACTGGAGAAACTGAGAAGGCAAAAACAGGTGGATTCCAGAATTGGAAGTTCTTTGGGTCATAGAACCGAGAGAGTCGTGAATCTTGGAAGTTCCTCATCCCTTTGATTTCTGCCCTTTAGTAGGTAGCGTATCCATAGGGAAATACATTTTTATTACCTGCACGACAGGAAAAAACAGTGCTTTTATGGAGGAAGCACAGCAAGAAAGAACACAAAATGCTTCTTACGAATATCAAGTGCTCCAAACCGTGCTGCCATTAAGCAAAACCAGACTGGCTTTCCTGCCTGGCTCATCATGTGCTCAGCGATGTGTTTGTGTCCTTGTCCATGAGGTAGATTTCGAATGGCAGCTATAAGTGCAGTCCCACAGGCCTGTGATTTTTGTCAGGGGTGCTCTGCGTCTGAGGTGCCCTGCACAGCGCTCGCTCTGGCTGTCGGGCGGGGTGAGAAGCAGGGGAGCTGTTGTTCCTCCATCCGTTAGTGTCCTGGGGAAGCTGGCTGGCGAGGGGTGTGAAAAATTGGGAAGCAACTTTATTTTCAAGCTTTCAAGAGGGTGGAACTGCAAAAACAAGGGGAAAAAATTACCCAACAACTGAGACACAGTGTCTCTCAATCTCCCATCCAAATGTTACTCTCCAGCCCAAAATAATCACCAGGAATTTCCCCAAAGACTTTAATCATTCGCTTCAGAGTTTGCAATAGTTTGGACTTGTGTTGAAGTTAAGGAATTAGAGCCTCTGAGCTCAGGTTGCTAACTGACTTTACACCATAGTTACAGCTAGGAGACGGAACCGCACAACCCCATTGCAGACTTCCTACGTGAGAAAGTGGTGGTATTTTTTTCTGAATGCAGAGAAATAAATGGAGCCTGTGAATGTAGAAGGGCGAGTCACTTAAAAGTATCACCCTTTATGTAATCAATATGAGAAACTCTCTTTCATTTTAATTTTTTTTTAATTTTTATTTATTTCTGAGAGAGAAAGAGAAAGAGAGTATGAGCAGGGGAGGGGCAGAGAGAGAGGGAGACACAGAATCCGAAGCAGGCTCCAGGCTCTGAGCTATCAGCACAGATCCCAACATGGGGCTGGAACCCACAAACTGCGAGATCATGACCTGAGCCAAAGTCGGACGCTTAACCAACTGAGCCACCCAGGCACCCCTCATTTTAAATTCTGGAACAGCTTTTATTTTGAGACACACTGTTCATTGTGTTTAAGAACACATGGTTTCTTCCCTCCTTTTTCAGAAAGATGTAGATCATTGGATTGGTTTTCATGCTTCTTTGACTTCAGCACTTGCTTTCTCTTTCAGTCTTTACAGAACAAGAGCTATAACCACTTTGCTGCCATTTATTACTTGTTGGTGGAGCGTCTGAAATCACACAGGAGCAGCTTTCCTGTGGAGCAGAGACTGGATGCCCGCCAGCGTCGGCCCAGTACCGTGGCTGAACAAACAGTTGCCAAGGTAACACCATATTAGCCAGTGGTCTCATCTCTCAGGTGCCTATTCATATATTTGACACATTTTTCATCTTGTAGTACAACAAAGGGTTAGGATTTATCCTCTCCCCTGTTTTTCTGTAAAGTTTCTGCCTGTCATTATTAGACTCTCAAATGTTTTAACATCTTCCTATTTCTTTTTTTTTTTTTATTTTTTTTTCCACGTTTATTTATTTTTGGGACAGAGAGAGACAGAGCATGAACGGGGGAGGGGCAGAGAGAGAGGGAGACACAGAATCGGAAACAGGCTCCAGGCTCCTAGCCATCAGCCCAGAGCCTGACGCGGGGCTCGAACTCCCGGACCGCGAGATCGTGACCTGGCTGAAGTCGGACTCTTAACCGACTGCGCCACCCAGGCGCCCCTAACATCTTCCTATTTCTAAGGATTAATTTTATTTCAGTTGTTTTAAAAGACTTCTCATTTTTTTAATCACTGACTTATTGTGAGAATTAATGTAATGGGCCTATATAGTTGATTCCATGTGACAGATCTTTATTGCAGATTCACTGCGTGCAGGCTCCTGTTATTAGGTACGATAGGGGATAGGATGTACGAAACCCAGGCATGGCCTCAGAGACCTTAGAGTATAAAAGCAAAGTAAGACAACATCATAAATAACCGTCATTCGAAACAGAGATAAATGCAGGACGAGAACTAAGGGCAGAGGAGAAAGTGACACTTCTGAATGGAAAGGCTTCATGGGAGAGACAGCATTTTGACGGATCTGTGATCCTCGGGGATGTGGAGGTGGGGGCAGGGGCGGTAGTGATAGTGGGAGGCCTGGTATGGAAGCCGCAGAAGCAGCTCGAGCACAAGTACTCAAGTGTGCAAGGGCAGGGTAGGCTCCGAGTAGCCCACCGGAACCGAAGCATACCAGGGAAATGAAAAAGTTGGAGCTGTGCTGTGAAGGGCTTCCAGTGCAAAGGTAAAGAGTTTACTTACAGTTCAGGAAATTAGGAGGAACGGTGGGAGACTTCAGCAGGAAAGTGATAAAATCATATCCCGGCTTTAATCTATTAATCGGTGACATCATTGGGAAGGAAAGATTGGAGAGGGAAGAGAAGAACTTTGGAGAGAGCAGTTGGGAGACGAGTAGTAAATACCGCAGGTTGACCTAAGACCTGCCGGTGGGGGCACTGGACGCCCTCGGCTGTGGTTTGCAGAGGCACCGTAACACGGTGGTTAAAGCAGTCGTTATGGAGCAAGCCCAGACTGGGCCACCTCCTGCTACCTGACCTTCAGAAGGTTACTCAAGGTCTTTCTGTGCCTGAGTTTCCAAATCTATAAAACGGAGTAACCATAGAATGTTCTGATGTCTAAATTAGTTGATAATTGTGCAACACTTAGAGCGTGTTCCGTAAATGTTTATTTTATAAAGTAATAACTGTTAGGGAGGAAGGAACAGCCGTGACTTGGAAATGATCCCTCTCTTAAGCCCGAGGCTGGGAGAGTCAGGGGTGGCACGGACTCCGGACTCCATTGCTTGAGAGGAAGAAGATCTGGATCCCAGGGTAGAGGCCGAGGCTAAAGGGAGCTGGGAAATCAGCCACATAGAGGCTGAGGAGAGGAATGGTTCATTCAGATGATCTACCAGGATTCCCGTTGGCTTCTGTGAGTGCCTGCTTTGTTCAGAGGACAAGTAGGAGCAGAAGTTCTGGCCATATATTTCTTGTTTGCCAGTGTAACAAAGTTTGCGGAATTTAGTACAATTTTGCATTGGCTTCTACAGAACATGTGAGGCGGGAGGACCTAACAAAACTAAGATCATCTTGATCTTAGTAGGCAAATGGTATATACACTGTTATACATACTTTAGTGAATATTGATACTAATGTCACGTATGGACAGAGGTCCAAATATTGGGTCAGATTCTCCCTGAGCGCTTGGAATCCTTCAAAGTTCCAGAGTTGAATGGTATTGCTTTCAAGACAGGAGGGGGATACAAGGAAAATTCCTAAGCTGGGGGAGTAACAGTGAGGTGTAGTGGTAACCCCTCCCCTCTGGGAAATGCTGACAGGGAGCAGGGTAGGAAGCAGGAAAGCCCTCCCCCCCCCCCAAAGCTGTGGCAGGCTTTCCCTCCCAGGTCTCTTCATTCTTGCTCACAGTACACAGGCCAGGGGATGGGGTTATGTAAATGATTGACCCTGAGCATGTGCGTATTACTGCACATGATCACCTTTCTTACTGAAGCTTAAAGAAGATTCCCTGGGAGAGCTCAAGTTATGTCTGATTTGGCTGAGAGTTCGATCTATAACGTAGCTTCTTATGTTAGATAATTTTTTTATTACCAAGCACCACATGAGTTACTTTCATTTTAAGCACTGACCCAAATTGTCATAGAAAGCTACTTACTGAGACTTAAAAATGTATCTAATTGAAGTAGAAGTCTTCAGTGTTCATTCAGTAGGCTTGTCCAGAGTGCCTTCTGGATGCTAAGCAGCAGGCACTGGGCTCAAGAAGATGCTCCCTTCCCTAGGAGATTTCACATTCTCATGGTTAGTTGAACTTGTTAAAAAAAAAAAAAATAGATTTCCCTGGGCTCAAAGTTTTAGTAGAGGCTTCTCCCTTTAATTCTTTGTTGTATTGTTTTAAAGAAGTGGCAAATCAGGGCACCTGGGTGGCTCAGGTGATTAAGCATCCAACTTGAGCTCAGGTCATGATCTCAAAGCTCATGAGTTCGAGCCCCACTTTGGGCTCTGTGCTGACAGCTGGAGCCTGCTTCAGATTCTGTGTCTCCCTCTCTCTCTGTTCCTCCCCCACTCTTGTCTCTCTCTCTCTCAAAATTTAACATTAAAAAAAAATTCTTTTTAAAATAAAGAAGTGAGAAATCCGTTGTAGTTGGTGAAACGATAAGAAATTAAGGAAACAACATGATCCCATGCAGAGATTGCACGAGCCCTGGAATCACACAGACCTTGGGTTCCATATCCTGCAGTGCCCTGAAATATAAACTGGAAATAGCAGCACCTACTTCATAAGTTTGCTACAAAGGTACAATTAGTTAACTTCTACCTGCAGCTCAGTTCAGCAGATAGAGTACTTCTTCTGTACCAGGAAACAGTCTCTGCCCGTAAAGAATTAATGGTATAGGGATAAAGTACCCATTATTACTACTTGGGAAACAGTGAGATTCCTATGTTATAATGATTTAGAGTACTTATATTTGCCTTATACTCTGCAAGAGATGTTAACATCTAGTTGATGACAGGCAACAATTTGGAGACAATACGTGTCCTGCCTTTCTCTCACGAGTCCTAACTACTAGTCCTTTGCTCCAGGTTTCCATCAACTGTAAGTAGACGAGAATGAAACACTCATCCTAGTACTCCTCTGCTTACTGAGTAGAGGCTGCCCTCCACAACTGGATGGAAAGGCATCCTGTAGTTGGCCAGGGCCACCGTAACAAAGTACCATAGGCTGAGGGGCTTAAACAGTAAAAATGTATTTTCTCACAGTGCTGGAGGCCACAAGTCCAAGGTCAAGGTGCCATCAGGGTTGATTTCTGATGAGAACTCTCAGCCGCTTTCTCTGTGTGCCCTCCCTCACACAGCTTATGTTCTGCATATGCAGAGAGAGAGAGATCCCTGGTGTCTCCTCCTCATCTTAGAGGGACAGGAGTCCTTTCGGATTCAGAGCCCACCCTTAGGACCTCATGTAACTTTAATTACCCCCTGAAAGGCTCTCTGTCCAAATGCAGTTGTGTTGGGGGTTAGGGCTTTAACATATGGATTGGGGAGGGGGAGGGGGGAACTGGAGGTGTGGGAGTGTGGACAGGACACACAGTCTGTCCATAACTGGCACATTCCTCTTGGAGCAGTAAAGATTTTCCCATAGGAGAAAACATGATTTTCATTTTAATGGTCCTAAAAGAGCACAAAATCATGAGAATCAAGACCATAAACATAAGGTCTAAAAAGTCATTACAGTTAGTTGGACATGATCATTGTCTGTTGCCACTCTTGGAGAAACTGGTAACGTCTGCCTCCCTGGGACATTAGTCATCCATCTATTTATTATAATGACACATTCTTTAGTCTACAGTGCCGAGCATGCCATTTGAATAGTTACACCCTACCTTGTTCCAGAAAGATCTATTTAATCCCCTCAATGATTGCAAGAATCCTAAAAAGTAGGCCGCTAAAACCTACCATCCTATTTCCTGTGATTGGTAGTCACACAAAAATGTGTTTTTTGTCCGTCCACACCAAGTCCACAGTAGGCTGCTGTAATCCAGGTTGGACGTGAAAGTTGTCCAGGAAAATGTGTTACACTTGGTCTGGCGCAGCATGATCCTGCCATTTAAAAAGTCACAGCTCCTAAGAGGCGGTGACTGAGAAGGAACAGCACATCCTGGTTATCGTGTTAGTACCCATTTCCAGCACCATATCATTTAGGTAATGCTTTGCCCTAATAGCTTAGACTACTTTCATACGCGAGGAGCAACCTAAGAAATTTGGGAAATAGAAATTAACGTTCAGCTTTAGCCTTCGATCGAAAAAATGATGAGTAGAGTAAGAAGAGTGCATGAAATATTTTTATTAGGAAGTATACATTTTATATTGTGACATGGGGCCGAAAAAAAAAATGATTTAAAATGACTAATCTTTGAAAGGGAAAAAAACTTGTTTAGCCTCAAGAGTGGCCTGGGATATAAGCATGAGGACTGATGACATTAGAAAAGCTGTTCTCTTTACCATGCTCAGGACAGTTTACAATGTTTTTTGTTTGTTTTTTGGGTTTTTTTTTTTTCTCTTTTTACCAACACTTTGCTATTGCTATTGCTATTTTTTTTTAATGTTTATTTTTTGGGATAGAGACAAGGTGCAAGTGAGAGAGAGGCAGAGACAGAGGGAGACACAGAATCCAAAACAAGCTCCAGGCTCTGAGCTGTCAGCACAGAGCCCGACGTGGGGATTGAACCCACAAGCTGTGAGATCATGACCTGAGCTGAAGTCGGACACTTAACTGACTGAGCCACCCAGGCGTCCCTGCTATTGTTGCTATTTTATTCTTTGTCTCTTGCAGCATATCTAATGATGTTAATGTTGGAACGAACCAAATGTAAAGCATATTCTAAATATGTTCAAAGTATATTAAATATAAGGTGTATTTCGTCAAAAACCATCAACCTAAAATTTTAACGGAGAAACATTAAATAATATTTGAGAACAAAACGGTATTTATTTGCAGGCTAATTGTTGTATTAGATTCTTGTAACCATTTTACAAATTTAGAAGGAAGGAGGGGCGCCTGGGTGGCTCATTCGGTTAAGAGTCTGACTTTGGCTCGGGTCATGATCTCACAGTTCGTGGGTTTGAGCCCCATGGCAGGCTCTGAGCTATCATTTATGAACTATCAGCTCAGAGCCTGGAGCCTGCTACAGATACTGTGTCTCCCTCCTCTCTGCCCCTCCCCTGCCTGTGCTTTCTCTCTCTCTCTCTCTCAAGAATAAATAAGCATTTAAAAAGGAAAAAAAAAAAAAAACTTTCAAAGGAGAAAGGCAGAATTGACATTACTGACTGAAAGACCTTACATGTTACCTTTTACACTCCTGATGTCACTGTGAAATAGCAATTGTGCCCTCTTATACAGGTGAAGGAAATAGGATTCAGAGAGGTTAGGTAACCTGATAATGTTCACACAGTTAGTGAGGAATGGAGCAAGGAATCAAACCCAGGCCTCTGGAAGAGAGAAGCTAAAATTACACCATGTTGTTCCTTTTTATTTGTTTGAAGTTAAAACTCATCACCCTAAGTCCCTTCAAGTGTGTAGCAGAGAAAAGGGTTGTTCCTCTGCCTTTTGGACACTAATGTGATGATTGTTTCCTTAACCGTTTGGCAGTGTCTGTTACATTCAAAAGTCTTCAAATAAATTATTCTGCCAATTTTAAAGAGATGGGAGGGTAGGATTATCCAGTAGTTTCATCTTTAAAATCAATTCGTGCCAATTATCATAAAGAAAGATTCTCTGGGGGCGCCTGGGTTCTCTGGGGGCTCAGTCGGTTCAGAGTCCAACTGTTGATTTCACCTCAGGGTCATGGGATAGAAAGCCCCGTGTCGGGCTCCGTGCTGAGTGTGGAATTTGCCTAAGATTATGTGTGTGTGTCTCTCTCTCTCTAAAATAAAGTAAATAAATAAATAAAAGAAGAAGCAAGATTCTCTGTTGTATGACGTTCTGAAAGAAGAGTTCATCATGCTTGTTTACTTGGAGTTCTTAACAGAGGAGACATGAAAATGGGCTTAAAGCCGTCCAGAGCTTTCTATAGTAGGTTGACTTTCGGAAGATAAGCTGCTCGGCAAGAAGCATCTCTCCTTCCACTGGGCCAACAGGCTGTGTTCAGGCCGCGCATCTCCTTGGAAGGAGGACACTCCTGTCACCACCAAGTAGCTGCCACTTCTCTTTTCTTCCTCCGCACGCATACCCTTGTCAGGAAATACATAACCATCTCACCCCACCAGCGTGTGTGGGTGTGCGGGTGTGCAGGTGTGTGGGTGTGTACCTACCCCTGGTTCGGTTTTGAGCTCCTAGACACAGGGGCTTCTCTCTTTATAATTTTTGCATAGTGATGCATTGAGGACATAGACCGCCTATGTTTGCTGAGTTAAGAAACAGAGCATTCTTAGCTTCTGTACAGAGACCAGCTTCCTTGTCATCTGTGTGATAGGCACCTCCCTGTGGAACAGGAATGAAATGTGTAGAACAATTCCCTGAGACTGCTTCAAATCAGTACCTGTACCACGTACACGTTTCATCAAATTTTTTCTGGGGTTCCAACTACTTATTCTTTCGTTGTACCAGGAAGAGTTATCTTATTCCAAGAATCTTGTATATTTGTCTGGAAAGTATTAATGTTCCCAAACTGCTCTTGCCATATTTTCAGGCCCAAACTGTGGGGCTCCCGGTGACCGTGCACTCCCCAAACGTGCGGCTGATGCGGTCTGCCCTCCTCCCTCCCGCATCCAACGTGGAGGCCTTTCCATTCCCAGCGTCCAGCTGTCAGGCAGAAGCAGCCTTTATGGAAGAAGAATGTGTTGACACACCAAAGGTACGAACGTGTTTGAGAGACTCTGAGCTCGCACTTGGACCGGGACTTCAGTTTCATCCCCGAGTGTTGTACTTTGGCGACCTTTGTCGTTTCCTCAAGTCACTCAGGAGTGTTGTTTTTTTGCAGAAATGGGAGAAAAATATCTAGGCCGAACTTGGCTCTCGTTGAGGTCTTACTGTTACGGCTGTTGCGTAACTTGTCAGACCTTATATGTACTTTCCAAAATCCTTCTTTCTCTTTCCTTAAGCAGTCCCTTCCCTCTTCAGGTTTCTAGATCCCTCATAGGTATGGGATTTTTTTTTTTTTTTTTTTACAAATTGTAATTCTGAAAACAGAAATATAATTACTGTGTTGAGCTTCCATCTGTGTTATTATTACCTCTTTTCTGCTGCATGCGCTGTAGCTGCAAAATAATGGGCCACCTTTTTTGGACCAGCATTTTCTTTGTCTTGTTTGAATATGTTTAAATGAGGTATGTTTATCCTTGTGTGCTGAATGAAGTTGGCTTTTAATATATAGAAGATGACAGCTTCTGTCATCTGATGGATGCTTATTTAACTTTTTTTTTTTCTAAGTTTATTTATTCTAAGAGAGAGAGAACACAGCAGGGGCAGAGAGGGAGAGGAGAGAGAGAATCCCAAGCAGCCTCTACACTGTCAGTGCAGAGCCCAGTGTGGGGCTTGAACTCATTAACCACAAGATCATGACCTGAGCCAAAACCAAGAATCAGAGGCTTAACCAACTGAGCCACCCAGGCGCCCCTTATTTCACTTCTAATACGTGTTTTATATACTGAGCATCAAGTGATGCCCAGAGGATCGTATTAATGGGCAGATCTTGGAACATAGGTGTTGGAGTATGTTCTAAGTAGACTCGGTATTTTCCTAGCCGTGTGAACTTAGGCAGGGTGACTAACTTCTTTGAACCTCTGTTCTTCATAAAATGAGAACACCAATTCTTGTGAGACTCTTGTGAGGATTAATTGAGATAATGTGTATGAGATTGTGAGCATACTGTAAATACTCGATATTATTTGTTTCCTATCTTTTAAGCCTCTTGAGTTAATGAAAAGATAACTCACATGAATTCTGCCTCCATGTTCATAGTCTAGCAGAAGAGACACGATGCATAGCTAAAGACAAGGTACCAGGTGCCGAATACATCGATAAAATGTAATTGTTCCCTTAGATACCTAAATCAAAATGCCGCACAACTGGAAAAAGTTAGGGGGGGTTGCTTTTAGCTAGTTTGACCAGGACAGTCCAGGTTAACTGTCAGAGCTGGGAATTGAGGGATGGGATGGAATAGGGGTGGATGGCATCTGGGTGGAGGGAAGAGTCTGAGCAAGCAAATGTCAGGAAAGCTTAGGTGCATAAAAGAGCAGTAGCTCAGTGTGTGTGTGAGGAAAAGCACATGTGAAGGGGAGTTGTATGAAATAAGGACCAGTAGCTTAGCTTTAAATGTCAAGCCCAAGAATGTAGGCTTTTTCTCTAGGCCAAATCCATATTGTGCTTCAGAAATCATCCTGGAAGGTACATAGCCTGCATTTGATGGGGACACAGTGGAAGCTTAGAGCAGGTGTCCAGAGAGGACATGTTGAAGGCCAGGACTGTTAGCGCTCAAGGAACTATAGAAGAGGGGATGGTATGAATGAGATTGTGCAGCTAAAATTGATAGAGTCTTATGGTCCAGGAAAAAGATGTCCAGACTCATAACAGTATTTTGAGCCTAGGTGATTAGGAGGGTAAGTGCCATTTTCAGAAACCAGGATCTCTGGAGGTAGAGCCGATTCAGAAGTTAGATCACGTGTCTAAGCTAAACCATAGACAAGGCAGCTTGAGGCGAGGCTGCGCGAGCAGGTGTTAGCTGCTGACTGTGAGTTACAGTCCCTGTCTCTGAGGACGAGGCCATTTCATGCGGACAGTCTATTTTCTCCGCCGGTGATTGCCTAGAATGTCCAATAACCTCATCAGCTTCTGTGTTCTCACCTAGAAATTTAGCCATAAATTGGGACCACATAATTCACTTATTTGTAAGATCTAATTCCCTTGAAAAAATTAAAATGCAGCCTGCTAAAAGCTTATCTGTGAGGGCATCAGGCCTGAAACACAGATTGGGCACTGTCTGCTGTGGTATATAGGGCAAGCTATTTTTAAAGCTTGTGATTGTTCCCGTAACTAGGAAACAGACAGGAAATGAATGATTTTGTGAAAGATAAAGACAGTAGCTAGATGGTGTATTTGCATTTGTAGGAAGAGCAGTGCTACCCTGGCACTTAGCCAGGCCAGAGACATCCCCTGGTCTTCTTTGTGGACCATTTCGTTTATGTCAGCAAAAACGCTTGTGCCCTCTTCCCTCCCTAGGACCTCTTTTTTGGTGGCCCATCAGTAAGCGCACACACACAAAGCTGTCAGAGCTGTGGCTCCTTTGTGGTTCCTGTTACTTCCTACTCATTCACTGGGCCACCCGTTTTTTGTCTTCTAAAAGATGCTTCATAAATGCATGTATTGTTCATTCATTTCTGCTCGCAGTTGCTGGCAGATACTGTCCATCACAGAGATTTCACCTCTCCCTTTCTCCCAGAAGTCTTTAAAAATGTCAGTAAAATCCCTTAGGGAGTCTGCACTGAAACATTGGTTTGGGGCTCCTGCAAAAAACACCCCCTTTTTGAGACAGTCACCCAACTCCAAGCAGTAGCTGAGAGCCCCAGATGACACAGAGACCATCGAGGGGCAGGTGCACAAACCTTGTGGGGCCATCTTTCTCTTTTAAGGGTTTCTTTGAAAAGAATCCATTTCTTTCCAGTTTTATTGGGAACTAATAGGCCTGCATCACTGCGTAAGCTTAAGGTGTATACACGATGGTTGATTTACATGTGTTGGTAAACGATCGCCGCAGTAGGGTCAGCTGACATCCCTCTTCTCATACAGATGCAACAAAAAGAAAAGAAAAAATAGAAAAAACTCTCCTTTTCATGAGAACTCTTAGGATTTATACTCTCTTAAAACTTTCCTGTCTATCCTACAGCAGTATTAGCTGTGGCCATTGTGCTGTGCACCACACCTCTGCTACTTACCTTACAGCTGCAAGTTTGTGCCTTTTGACCCGCCTCCTCCAAGCCCCCCTCCCCCCTCCGCCTCTGGTAACCACGAGTCTTATCTCTGTTTCTGTGAGTACGGTTTTGTTCTTTTGGTTTTTTTCAGTTCCACATCTAAGTGAGATCATATAGCATTGTCTTGCTCTGACTTATTTCACCTACTATAATGCCTTCAAGGTCCATCCATAGTGTTAAGTGGTAGGGTCTCATTGGTTTTTCATGGCTGAATAATACTTCATTATTATTATTAGGGGTACATAGATACATACGTATATGACTTCTTTGTTCATCCATTGATGAACACTTAGGTTGTTGCCAATCTTGGCTTTGGTGAATGGTGGTTCTGTGAACGCAGGAGTGCAAATACCTTTCTGAGTTAGTGTTTTCATTTCCTTTCTCTATGGGAATAATGAGTTTTACACACACACACACACACACACACACACACGTGCGTGCATTTTAGTCACTTTTAACATTGTATTAGACATTATAATAAAAGGATTTCCCAGGCTCCGTCATAACTGGGTAGCCACACTTGGAAAATGCAAGTGTCCCAGGTCTGTTTACTCTGTTGAGGTCTGAAAAGGACATGCCTCTAAGGCTCTGTAAGACGATCACCTTTTAAGTTCTGAACTTGAACTTTTGATTTATAAGTGAAAAAATAAAACCAGTCAGAATCATACATGGAAAATTCACAGAGGGATAAAGAAAAAAATTATTCATGATCCCACTACCCAAAGATAGGCATATTCTAGCATCTTCTCTAAGAGTGGATCACAGATGGGCGGATGGGTGAGTGGAGGGTGTCTTAGTAGGTAGACTTAAAACAAAATTATATTGTTATATGTAATTTTGTATCTTGTTTTTACATAATATAACATCATGAACATTTTTCCCATATCATGCAATCTGAAAACATAACACTGGCCTAATATACTGTATTAGATGTACCCTTATTTACTATTTTTGGACATCAGGTACTTTCATTTGTTTTGTATCCTCAAATGTGCTTCAGGTGAATATCCTTGTGTCTAAATCTTTGACTATACCTCTGATTATTTCCTTAGGATAAGTTTCTAGAACGGGTTATCCAGTTCTTTCTTCCTCACTTGGTTATTTGTTTAATTTGCTTCAAGATGGTAAAAAATATTTTCAAAGAAAATGGTACAGTTCTGTTCTCATGCTTTTAAAATTTTTATTGTTATAAAGTATTCTCTTTTGGTCGGGAAATCATAACAACAGATAGAATATTTTAGTTCATCCCCCCCCCCCCCAAACAGCCGTCTTACACATGAGAAAAATTGAGCTTTACAGAAGTTAAACAACATGCCGATAAGTGACAGAGCTGGTTTGAGCCTGCACCTCAGTACGCGCCCAGCTGTCCTGGCACTGATGATGCACGTGAGACAAGACACACTGTCAGCCTCCAGGTCCACTGGCTACTATTGTGCACTGGTCTCTTGTCTGCCCAGGCCATCATAACAAAATACCCCAGGCCGGGGGTGCTTAGACAACAGAAATATATTTTCACACAGTTCTGGAGGCTGGAAGTTGAAGACCAAGGTTCTGACCAATTTTATTTCCAGTCTCTTACAGAAGACCACCTTCTCTCTCTGTCCTCCCATGGCCAGTCCTCTGTGCTCACGTGGGGGGAGAGAGAGTGTGCAAGCAAGAGCTCGCACATGGGAGCTTTCTGGTATCTTTCCTCATAAGGATGCTAATGCCACCAGGTCAGGGCCCCACCCTTAGGACCGCCCTAGAGACTACACCTGCAGATACCACCTCAGTGGAGGTCAGGGCTTCCATATGTGAATCTTGCCCACAGGTATGGGGTGGGGGGCAGTTGAGACACAAACATTCAGTACACAACAGTCTACCGGTCTTTTGTGCTAGAATCGGGTGTTACCAGTTAGTGGTAGAGTTTCTGAGAGTTTGACTCCTACATGAGTACTGCCTGTTGCAGTGTGGTCTCTCACTAGATGTGATCCGTTGTGCTTTAAGGAAAGACAAAAACAGTGTATTGGAAAATGTCCATTTCACTCATGTATTTCGGAGTCCTAAAGTTTTCCGTTAGCCTAGATTATTTCCTAGTGCGAAAAATCTTACTTCTAATAGCTTAGGTCACCTAGGTAGATCAGCCCACTATTTCAGTCACAAGGTCCTAGGGCTGAATTTGTTGTATCAGACCCCTGGTAAATTGGCAGGCAAGGATGGTGTGATTATCACCCGTTTCAGGAAATGAACTTCTAGCTGAAGGTGTTTCACACCTAGGAACTATGTATGAGTGCCCTCCCCCCTCTCCTGACAGTGCTTTCTGATTGGTCATCATCAAACAGCATCTGAAAAATCAGAACCAGGCCATTATTTTCCAGGATGAAATTGAATTAAGAAATGTTGTTAAATGAAAGATATCATTCCTGTTGTAGTCTAGGTAAGGAGATAATTTATAAGCAGACAATTTAAGAAAAGAACATAAATTTAGGGGAACTGCAAGGTCTTTTGAGTGCTCCTGAAAAGATGACTTTTCTCTCTTAAGGAAAAAAACCAACCTGGTTGCAAGGCTATACTGCAAGAAAGATCTGATAAAATTTTGACAGGTTTCTGTAAGTGTAAAGATGCTCAGTAGATATTTACTTAATAAGTCTTTTCTCTGTTGCTTTCTTCATTTCTAAATCATCCTTGGCTATTTTTAGAAAACTATATTCGTAGATAGTTAAGGAACGTCGAGGTATGAGTGTAAGTTCCCAAAGAGCCATTCTTTCCTACAAGGAAACTCCTGAGTGTGTCAAAAAAAAAGGGGGAACACTTACCTAGGGAAGGGCCAAAGGGAGCTTAAAGAGTCACTGGCCAGATGTCAGAGTTTTTTGTTTGCTGGTGCCTTGTGGAGAAGATTGGTCTTAGTGTAGGAAGAATGCATCTACCACTCTTCCTTTTAAATGACCACTTGTCGCTTTAAAACCCTGTCATGCATTAGCCGCCTTGTCCAAGTAACGGCTATGGCCCCAGAGCAGTTTTTGTGGAATAACTGTCCCCTCCCCCAAGCAAACAAAGATCTGAGTCACCCACAGTCTCCCTCTCCAAATAAAGGGCCTTGCAGTGGCTTCAGATTGGTTGCCATAAGAGGAAAGTTTTTCCTGTGTCTGGCACTGGGATGTCCCACGTCACCTCTCACATACATGAGCTGCTCGGGCTTCCAAAGGAAACAATAGCTCTGCCCAGTGTGTTCCAGGTGCAGGCAGCGCTTAGAACTCAGCGGCTTGTGACCGGCTGTTCCTGAGCAGCTATTCAGAGGGGAAAACGGATTGATTTCCACAGGGGAGTAGTTACAGTAATGAAGTAAATAATTGCCTCCTCACTGGGACTTTTACCGCCCGGAAAGCTGGCAACCCCAAGTCCCCTCTGTCTGCTGGTTCCGCCTGCCCTCGGTGGTTTGCCGGGCTGCCGAGGAGGGCCGAGTTCTCGCTCGCTCCAGGGCTGTGCCGAGCTCACCCCCGTGGGGTACAAGCTCTAGATGCTGTGTGCATTGCTGGAGGAGAGAGAATTCGCTGCCCTGGTGCTCATTAACCTCTGCTGGAATTTCGGGGCTCTGAGTCATTTGTTATTCTATAAGGGAAGACTTGGGCTGTTTGCCATTGCACTTTTTTTTCTTGATCCTTTTTGTGGTATCAGTCTGTCTTTAAAGAATTCTTTTTTCCACTCCCCAGGCACAGAGAACCAGTTAAAGACTAAATCAAATGGGCAGGTACTTAAATTATGAACATAAAAGTATATCTAGAACCTTCCAGAATTTTTTGTGGTTGACAATTAAAAGAATGGCAATGACTACTCTTTTTTTCTTAGCTATGAGCCATGCAGGTTTCTTGTTTTTTATCTCTTCCTCCTCCTCATCGTTTCCCTTATTTAAAAAAAAACAATAATAACTGGTAGGCCTCAAGCTAATAGACCCGTGCTCATCTGGAAGCCACTAAAAAAACTGTTGATTGTAATAATGATGACTAACAGAAACCTGGGGGGTAGTGCCGGTTCAGGCCATAAAGGGCTTCTGTCTCTGAGCTCTGCAGCTGACTTGCCCTAACTCCTCACGTACATGTTGTCATGAGCAGCAGATCTGTGCATTTTTAATATTTTACTTAATTTCTAGTGCCCCAAGTCTTACCATTTTTTTCCTGTGTGGTTCGTTGGGTTTTTTTTGTTTTGTTTTTTTGTCTTTTTGTTTTTGACGTCTCAGCAGAGCAGCAACTGATAGTTTCTCGTCACGCCGACATTTAGGTTAATGGCTGCCTGCTGGACCCCGTGCCTCCCGTCCTCGTGAGGAAGGGGTGCCAGTCGTTGCCCAGCAACATGATGGAGACGTCTATCGATGAGGGGCTGGAGACGGAGGGGGAGGCTGAGGAAGACCCCAGCCAGGCCTTCGACGCGTTCCAGTCCACGCGCGGTGGGCAGAGACGGCACACTCTGTCAGAAGTGACCAATCAGCTGGTTGTGGTGCCTGGTTCAGGTAGGCTATCAGTAGGCGCCGGGTGAGTCTTCCCAGCCCGAACCCTGCTCGTCTCCCAAGAAATGGCAGTGACCCCACCACTTAGGATGCTGCCTACGCCTTAGTCCTTTACGGAGCAGGCCCAGCGGGCTGTAGGATTAGGCCTGGTCAGCAGCCGCAAAGAGTCAAGTGAAATACGTCTGAGCCGGTCCCCACCTGCCGAGATTCACGTGAGCACGGTGCAATCCATCAAGGACCCTGGCCTCTCTGGGGTGTCAGAGATCTTACGGGCACACACCCCACTAAATTCGAAGCTGATTAAATTGACGTGGAAAAAGTTTCTGGAAGAGTGTTTTGGGTGGAGATTGGAGACTAAGTGTCGGAGCTGTGCAAACTCAAGCTAGTTGTGCTTTGTATTCCACGTTCAAAGAAGGCGCTGTTTGCTGCTGGCCATATATCTTTTGGTTTGGTCTTTTTTTTTTCTTTTTTTTCTCTTAAAGGGAAAATTTTCTCCATGAGTGACAACCCCTCCCTTGACAGTGTGGACTCTGAGTATGAGATGGGGTCTGTTCAGAGGGACCTGAACTTTCTGGAGGACAACCCTTCCCTTAAGGACATCATGTTAGCCAATCAGCCATCCCCACGCATGACCTCTCCCTTCATCAGCCTGAGACCTGCCAACCCAGCCATGCAGGCTTTGAGCTCCCAGAAGCGAGAGGCTCACAACAGGTCACCAGTGAGCTTCAGAGAGGGCCGCAGGGCGTCGGATACCTCCCTCACCCAAGGTGACTGGGGCTCATAAAACTCTCCTGTGGCAGGACTTGAGGGGGTTTGTGGCTACGTTGGTTTCACCTGTCTCATCACTGGAAGGCCTTGTGTTGTACTTCAATGTCTGGTCATTGTTCTTTCTTTCAGGAATTGTGGCATTTAGACAGCATCTTCAGAATCTGGCTAGAACCAAAGGAATCCTAGAGTTGAACAAAGTGCAGCTGCTGTATGAACAGCTAGGGCCAGAGGCAGACCAGGACTTGGCCCCAGCGGCACCCCAGCTCCAGGACCTTGCTGGCGCTTGCCCTCAGGTGGGTGCCCCGGGCCCCTCCCACGGGGGCTCTATGAGGATGAGGCAGGAGTGTGTCCTGAAGGGTGTGTCGTTTCGTTTAGAAGATCGATTCCAGTCCCGGAGCAAACAGGTCGTTTTGGAGAACTCACAGCCCAGAACCTTTCCTTGTTGCTGCCACCACCTGCCACTGACAGGCTAGACCCACCCCCGCTGGCCCAGGTGACGACTGCCCTAAGGAGGTGTAGAGAGTCTCAAGCTATGTTTGGTTCATATGGCAGATGTTATATGAACGACTTGCTACAGTGTCCCTTGAGCTCCCCTCCCCCACGCCTACACACAAAAACAGTAACTCACATGAATGTGAAGTTTCTGGCCATTGCTTTTTTTTTTTTTTTTTAAGTTTATTTATTTTGAGAGAGAGAGAGAGAATGTGTGTATGAGAGAGCAGGGGAAGGGCAGAGAGAGAGGGAGAGAGAATCCGAGGCAGGCTCTGCCCTGTCAGCCCAGAGGCTGATGTGGGGCTCGAACTCACGAACCCTGAGATCATGACCTAAGCCAAAACCAAGAGTCCAACGCTTCAACTGACTGAACCACTCAGGCTCCCATGCCATTACTTCTGATGTCACTTCATTAAATATTTTAAGTGGATTATTTATGCTAAAAATACCAAAAAATATTGCTGTGTACCCAATAAATTTTAGTTTGCGCCTGTTTTCGGTGCATCACGGGTATTACAGCATTTAATGGCCACATGAATGTACTGGCCTGTTGCTGTCAGGCGCCTTTGCCACAGTACTGACTGGGTAATCGTCTACTACAGATGATACATGGATACCTTTTTTTGCCAAGTGATTAACCTTCAGCCTACTAGTTACATAAAAAGCGTTAGGTATTAAGTCTGACAGAGTTGGAGTTCCTGTCGGACATTTGCCAAGGTGCTTAAACACAGAACTAAAACTTTCTCCCACATGGAGAATTGAAAATATTTCCATCCCCCTTGCTCCTCAGGAGGAAGTTTCTCAGCAGCAGAAAACGGTCTCCACTGTCCCCAGCAGTGTGCGTCCTCAGCTGTCCCCACGGCAAAGCCTGGAGGCCCAGTACCTACAACACAGACTCCAGGTGTGACGTTCTCCTTGTTACTGCCGCTCACTATGCTCGCCCAGAATCTGCTTTGCAGCACAGCAGAAACCTTTTTTGCTTGGTGACTTTTCAGGGGAGATGCTGTATTGTCAATAGGCTGGGAGATGGACTCTGAATCTGTAGTTTCTAGAAACCTGTTCAGACTTAGCCTCGTGCTTGTATTGACAGCAGAAAAGGATTTGTCCTCAGGCTCCAGGCAAGAATCAGGCCACTGGTAGGAGTCAGAAACCCGGTTTCTTTGCTCCTAATGTTATGCGTCGTAGTGAGTAATAGAAATCCCAAGCCAACAAAATTTTAGTGTCAGTTCTGTGCATTAATGCCTGAAAATCTTTAAAATTGATACACAAAGATCCCAGTTTATTCAGCAGGCACTAAGATCTTGGCTGTCAACATTTAACTCAACCTTTTCAGTTTTAAATCTCCACGACCCTTACAGTTCTAGAGGACTCTTAGAAATGGAAAAGCCACACTGGTCAAGCGGACACCACACAGGCCTGCTGGTGCAGGGCCACTGGGCGGCACGGCTCCCCGCCCCGGGTCTCAGGGAGGAAGTGTCTGTGCCCTTATTACCCCGCGCAGATTCTGGAGGACACGGTTGACTTCGTCCTCTGGGCAACTCTGGGCAACTCTGGGCAAGCGTACCGTGTGGTCACTGCATCCTAGGTGACATCATAGTGTCGTGCTCCTAATTCTTTTTCTGCTCTTCCAGAAGCCCAGCCTTCTGTCCAAAGCCCAGAACACCTGTCAGCTTTATTGTAAGGAAGCCCCGCGGAGCCTGGAACAGCAGCTGCAGGAACACAGGTGAGACAGGGAGGTCGCTGGAGGTGTCGTCCTTCCCCACTCGGGATGGCGTTTCCTCTGCTAAGCAGAAAATAGGTTTCAAGAAGTGATGACTGAGCTAGATGTTCCAGTGTCCCGGGATACTGGCGGCAGGAGACGGCGGCCGAAGTGTGCTGTTTCCTTACCCCTTCGGGTTTGAATAGACCTAAGCTTTCAGAATCTGTGACCTAAAGCAGTTTGAGTGGGTTATACTTCATCTCCCCGGGTGGTAATCCGTGCCCTCACGCCTGACCAGGAGTCACCCTAATCCGTCAACCTGCAGCTGCCCCCAGAGGCCAGCTGGGTGGGGAACCCCCCCACCCCCACTTTGAAACACCCCAGGTGGGAAAGGTGCCTCTTGCTTCACGGGGAGAAAAGCTCAGTCTTAGACAAAAAGTGTGTGCACTTCGGCACTGAGGGATCAGGATCGGGGGACAGAGAGTAGGAGGTAGAAGAAACCAAACAGTCGGTTCCTGGCCCGTTTTTTTCCTGCGCGGACAACAGAAGCGGGAGGGACGGAAGCGAATGACTGGTCCTGGATTTATATTAAAATTGCTATCCCTGAGGAAGATTTAAACTTCTTTCTTTTGCTGTTGCCAATTTAGACTCCACCAGAAGCGACTCTTTCTGCAGAAACAGTCTCAGCTGCAGGCCTATTTTAATCAGATGCAGATAGCGGAGAGCCCGTTCCCGCCACCCCTTCCCCGCCAGGAGGCGTCTGCGCAGGCGCCGCCGCCCCCGCCCTTCGGCCTGGCCCAGCCCCTGAGCCCCGTCCTGGAACCCGCCCCGGAGCAGATGCAGTACAGCCCCTTCCTCGGCCACCAGTACGAGGACCTGCGGCTGCAGCCCCTGCCCTCCTCGCCCGGGCCCCGGGCCCCTGCGCTGCCCGTGCACCTGCAGCAGCAGCAGCAGCAGCAGCAGCCGCCGCCTCAGCCGCCCCCGCCGCCGCCCCCGCAGGCGGGAGCCGCCCCCGCGCCCCTCCGCTTCCCTTATCAGACTTGCGAGCTGCCGGGGGCGGCCTCCCCCGAGCCGGACTATCCCCCGCCCTGTCAGTACCCCATGGATGGAGCCGCGCAGAGCGGCCTCGCGGCACAGGACTGTCCCAGGAGCTCAGGACTGCAGGAGGCCGCCTCCAGCTACGACCCCCTGGCTCTCGCCGAGTTCCCTGGACTCTTCGATTGTGAGATGCTGGAGGCTGTGGATCCACAGCACGGGGGCTACGTCCTGGTAAATTAACCTCAGCGCAGGAAGTGAGGCGGGTCAAGTGAGGGAAGAATGTGGATTTCAATTTTTTTTCCAGCCTTTTAAGTGTCAAGCTTACTTTCCTGCCCTCTCCCAAAAGGAGAAAACCACGTTGCCCAACTGGAATCAAGAGGGCCTGGCCAGGCGCGCAGCGCTTCCTCTTGGCTCTGTCTCACCGCGGTCTTGTGGGGCGAGGGGCTGGAACACGTCGGAGCTGAAGCCCGTGCCCTTAGATCAAGTGGAGAAACGCTGGTGGGAGGCGCTGACAGATGTTGTCATGAGACGTCCAGACCTAGGTTTCCTGTAGACCTACAGCAGTTCGTTATCGGGGGAAACCTTGGTGAACAGCTGTGTGCCATTAGATCTGGGCAAAACGAAACACACAAAAAAATGCAATATATTTTTCACTGAAGCCAAGCGACAGCCCGTCGTGTTCAGGCAGGTCAAGAATACGTAGTGGGAGTTGACGCATAGGAAGGAAAATTGTGCTCGGTCACCGAATCCTAAGTTTGAAGCTGCTGATACAGGTTGTCCCCAACACCACTGCAAAGCAGGGGGACGTGAGCTTTGTTTCAGGGGCTGCTGAGTGATAGCCGGGACTGAGCCTTGATACTGGCAGTCGTCTCCACCCGGAGCAGTGACTTTCCCCCACCCCTTCCCTTTTCAGAGGTTTCTGGGGCTCCTACTCTGTCACCTGTAGAACCACGAGACCCACCGCAGTGGAGACCGGGGAGCACCGGCCCTGGGCCAGGGGAGGACGGGCTCTTCCCGCAGAGTCTTCTGTGGAGACCGCTGCTCCCGGGCGGTCAGTCTTCAGAGGGCCTTGCGGCTCTTTTAAAATGTAGTCACTACTTGGACTTTATAGTCTATGTTGCTAGTAGTTTATGGAGCTTTGTACATTTGGACAGTTTCATGTAGGGCTTAGCAATTCTAAGGACAAGAAAAATGAACTTCGATCTCCCATGTGAAGTGGTAGTGCCGTGCCTTTTTTGCCCAGACCGTGCTTTAATTCTTTCTTTTCTGTAGAAACCAACAGTTTTCCATTTATGTCAAGGCTGAATCCAAAGTCCCTTCGGAGTTTGTTTTCCACCATGTGGGAATCGCGTTCTTCATTTCCTTCAAAGTTTTAACTTGTAATGAAATGTTCAAGTATTACAGCAATATTCAGAACCACAGATGTGTTAACCATCTAGCAGACCATCTGCCAAACACGTTCTAGGACTAGCGAAACGTAACCTTAACCCTTCCAATTAACTCATCAGAGGAAGTCAAAGCTAGATGCACCAACTAGTTCATTGTGTACCTAGAAGGAGCGAGTAACCACCCAGCATTCCTGACAGACGGTCGTTTGTCCTGTAGCCCGGCCTGTCCTAGCAGCAGGTGACTGGGCTGAGCACAAAGCGTCACAAAGCACAAAGAGAGACACTACACTGATGCTGCATCTAGAAACACCTTTAAGTTGCCTTTCCTCTTTGTAGTCTGCCCGAGCAGGTGAGAAGCCCCTAG